CCCCCCCCCCCCCCCCCCCCGGCCCGCCTGGCTGCTTAAAAAAAAACCGGTTGTCTTGGAAATATGTTGTACTTTAGCCATCGACGCCGGCAGAGTGGAGGCCGAGATCGCCACGCTCGAGCTCTTGAACCAGCGGGACACGATGCTCTGCGACGACATCCGAGCCGCCTGCCGCCTGGGCACCACCACCAAGCCCGGCGCGGGAGTGGCCGGGAAGCAGAGCAAGCTCTCCTGCTGGGCCACCGTCCAAGGCATCGGGGTCCCCAAGAAGGCGGTCGTTCCACCGCCTTCCGAGGCGTTATCCGATGGGGAGAAGAACGACGACCCACCCTCCCTGCCGCGGCCGGCCAGCGGCTCGACGGTTGGGAGCGGAAGCGGAGAGGGGGATGACCAAGAAGATGGAAACGGAGATGACCATGAAACCTCCATCTCACGGAAGCGCGTGTTCTCCAAGTGAGTGGCGTTTCCCTAAGGGGGGCGAGGGGGTGATTGAAAAAGGAGCCCAAGAGGGGGGCGTGTACTGGCACAATGCTGTTGGCTTGCGTGGGTGTGAGCTGATTTTCCTGGATTGAATCACGTGACTGGGAGGCGGGCGTTGACCTGCTTCGGGTTTGGGCTTGCAACATTTTGCCCCTGATGCCATCATCAATCGGAAGCGCATGAGTCGGAAGGAGGGGGGGAGGGAGGGAGGGAGCTGTTGTGTCCTGCGCTGGTGTTTCCTGGGCATGAGGTTTTGTTTGGCTCGTGTACGGTTTCTGGCTGTAGTGGGATTCGCTGTTTTCTACTCCAGTTTGCGCGACACTCACCCCGGCGCTTGGCCGTGTTGCAAGGTTACACCGTATGTATGAGTTATGCTCAAACATGATTCCGGTATATTGTTCATGTCATATGCATTTGCGTGTTAATGTACGATAAACTAGGTACGATGAAGAGACGACGAGCATCCTGACAGAGTGGTTTCTGGCGCACAAGAGGTGGCCTTACCCAGCCTCCAAGGAGAAGAACGAACTCGCGGAAAAGACCAACCTCACCACCCTGCAAATGTGAGGCGTTATTCCTCCTTTGTTTTTCTTTTTTTTTTTCAACAACCTCATGTCATCTCCATTCGCAGATAGATGTGAGTACGGGATAGATGAGCAATTTTAATATTTCATATGCATGCATAGTTTTCCTCTTTCGTGTTCGTTGAAATAAGGAAACGTCGTTCAACCTTGTTGCCCGCGTCGTGAAACCCATCGGAGTGCGTGCTCGTCCGTTTTCTGGTCTTGTTCAGGACGTCGTGTTCCAAAAACCTTAAGAAGTTCTAGTTGTAAGGTAGGTTGTTCCCTATGGTGATCGTCCTTTGTTGACCCCCCTCTCTCTGTCTTTCCGTTCCATATTTAGCCCTACTAATAGTCCACCAACGGGCTGTCGTCGTTGTTGTGGCATGTTGCAGTTCTAACTGGTTCACCAACAAGCGCAAGAGGCACTGGACTCCGGTAATCAAGAAACGAACGAGGTCGCCGAGAGACTTCTTCGAGGTGATTATTTTCTCCTTTGGCAGTAAAAAAGTTGCATTTTTTATCTGTCTCAATTTATGCACCGGAGGTACAGTATGCATCTATTTTGAGGATTTGGAAAAATGAAGTGACTCGCCTCGAAAGGATTGCTTGTAGTGGCCAATGGCTAGCTGGTGAGGAAAGCAATGGGCGGTCCCCCCCCCCCCCCCCCCAAAGATAAATGAACGTGCCATTGAGATGAGATGTGGATATTGTCCTGAATTTCTTGGCGCTCCAGACTCACGGAACCTCACTTGTTTTGCATCCTTGACCGTCCCTTTGCTCTGAACGGGGTCGTCTTCCTCTTCTCGTGTACCCCCCCTTGTCCCTGTGTTGCCCCCAATTTTGTGTCATGAACCCCAAGGACCCCTCCCCTGTGGAAAAAAAACTGCCGCTGCCCCAAGAGCAACAAGAAGAGCGGCAGCGGCCGTCCCAGCCACCGCCGCAGCAATCGCCGCCTCAGTCCCAACAGCAACGGGGCATTGGCCTGGGGGGGGCTAACTCCTTCGCATTGGCGGACACGGGACAGCACGGGAGGAACAACGGCAACGGTAACAGCAGCGGCACGCAGGTGCATCACGGGGGCGGCGGCGGCAGCGGTGGAACCGGAGCGCCTGCCCTTCCGTCTTTACCGTATAATGGGCAGTCGTCGAGAATGCCGTTCGACACCCGTAGTACTGCGGCGGAGACGCCCGGCGGGGGGGCGTGGCTGGACCAGTCGAGGCAGCAGCAGGACAAACAGCAGCGGCAGCAGCAGCAGCAACAACAACAACAGCAACAGCAGCAGCAGCAAGCGGGGGGGCAGCAACAGCAGCAGCAGCAACAGCAGCAGCAACAACAGACGGGACCGCAGCACCCCGGTGCGCTTGCTCCGGGTTTGGTGTACGCTTCGAAGGCGGCTCGGCAGGCGGCCAACATGGACCCGTCCATGTGAGAACGTGTGTTGGTCTTGTACGCTCCACTTTTCGTTCTGTACGTCTGCATTTTTTCCTCCCTAGTCGAAAGGATGGGGGTTGATTGTTCCACTGCTGTGGTGCACTCCTGTGGTGTGTCCCCTGCGAGTAAGAACGGCGGTGGGAGCAAGCTCTTCCATCTCGAGCCCCCCTCTCTCTGCAATTGCTCAACACCAGAGACAAATGACCACAATGACCTGCGCTCCACACACACACACCTCCCGTTGCTTCTTATGTGGATTTCCCACAATTTATCAGCCAGAGCAGTCAACACATTCCGCTTTGGATGACTCCACCCGTGGGAATGGAACGGCGAGGGCACTCGATGGCCTACCCCCACGGCGGCATGCGAACAGCCCAGCATAATCAGGGCCAGGGTCAAGATAAGGGACAGGGCGGGCCTCTCCATCCTTCAACGCCTCCGCAAGGCGCGACCCAAGTTCCAAACTCTCGGGATGGTTCGAGAATGAACACGGTGAGGCTGGGCCGTGACATTGTCCATGTTTTCTTCCGGTTGGTTGTTGGCGGGCGGTGCAAAGTGTACGGTAGTGGGATATTTTGGGGCAAGAAGAACTTGGTTCTACGAGTCAGAATTGTGAATGATGGGACTGACTTGTGCCGTGAGGGCGCTGCTAGGTTGGCGTGCGGTATCGTGTACCTCCTTGGTTTCTTGGGCTCGATGAGTGTAGATGTACATTGAAGGGCTAGGACAAGCTGAAACGCATCTTGGTCTTGTATTCTTCTCCCCCACTAACGTCAGCAACATGATTGTGCCGCCCCCCCGCCCTCCCGTTGACGCTTCCGCAGGCTCCGCAATTCTCTGGTATTCGTGGATTCGACACCAATAGCGGCTTTCACCAAGCCCAGCAAAGCCACGAAAGCTTGCGACGCGGAGACCACTTCGCAACCGCGGCAACAGCAGCAGCAGCAGCAGCAGCAGCAGCAGCAGCCCAGCCGGCTTCCCAACACGGGATTAGCCAAACGACGTTGGTGCAGCAGCAGCAACAACCGCAGCAGCAACAACCACCAATGGATCAGCAATACCAACAGCTCGTGGGCCAGCAGCAGCAACAACCACGCTCTTCGAACCCCCAGGGCTTGCCCCCGACACAGCAGTCGGCGGTTGCGATCCAGTCGCCTGCGCAACAGGTCGCCAGCGCCGCCGGCTCCTCCCTGTTTTCGTCGTCGTCCTACCGCCCGCCGTCCCCGCGCAACCTCCCGGGACCCACCGCGATGCCGCAGCGCAGCGACAGCGGCGGCGGCGACGGTGGCGGCGGTGCCGACGACGGGAGCGGTCGTCAGCAGTACCCGCAGAGGTTTATCGAGTCATCAACCAGTTCCTCGTACTCCAAAGGATCAACGGGTCCGGAACACTACCCCCCCGCGCCCCCTTCCAACGCGAACGCTAGTACCGGCGGGGCTACTTCGGGAGGAGGCGGCGGCGGCGGCGGCGGCGGCGATGGTTATTACCCTCCCGTCGCCGCGTTTGCCGCTTCAAGCAGCGGTGGTGCCGGAGGGGGAGCCAGCAACGGTTCCGGTTTTGCTGTGAACGGTGTGCCCGGCGGCAACGGCGGTGGCGGCGGCGGAGCGGGGGTTTCTCAGAGGCTCTTGGACCCCTCCGTCCAAATGCCGCCCATGTCATCATCCGACAGCAGAGGTGCGCCCCAGCATTTCCCCCAACAGCAGCAGCAGCAGCTGCTGCTGCCACATGGTTCTCCCGCCAACGGCAGTGTTCAGCAGCAGCAGCAGCAGCAGCAGCAGCAGCAGCAACAACAGCAGCAGTACTGGGACCGTTCGATGCCCGGGCGGGTGTGGCCGCCACCCTCCCATACCGCTTTGGCTTTTGACTTTACCAGGGCGTCGGCGGCGGGGGGGGGCTCTGCTGCTAGTGGGAACTCCATGGCCTCGAACCCCAGCCAGCCCCCCCCGCTTGGAGTTCGGGCCGGTGCCGCCACAGCCACCACCGCCGGTTGGAGGTGAACCGCTCTGCAAGCGCGAGTCTCGAGAACAATAACACACATGGGAGTGTTTTCATGCCCTCCCCCATCCCCGTCAAAAAGTTTTTTGGGGAATTATTATCTAAAATAGTTGTTTGCTTGTTTCGGTAGGCCGCTTGGAGCTCGGCGCGTCTTTCTGTCTGGGTTCTCTTGGTGTCCATTGGCACCGGTCATCATTTCAATTGATTTTTCATCTTCGTTAGTGCTATTGTATTGATTTACGCTGTGCCCCACTCGCCGACTGCTTGTAGTAGCGCTATGCCTACTTAGCTCGTTGCCTCTGATCTTTGATAGTACGGTTGTGCTTCTGCTGTGAG